CTGCGCGCCTCTTCTCCCACCTCCCCCGGGGGGAGGGGCCTGGAGGCATGGGGGTGCAGGCGCCCAATCCGAGGCGGAATGGGCGGGGCCACGGGCCCAGTGCAGAGCCTGAGTTCCCTAGCTGCGTCAGTGCTTAGCAGGCTGGCCCCAACCCTGTGTACCGCCCTATGTGGAGAGCTGCGGAGGGTCCTTGTAGGTATCTTCCAGGTTTTGCAACTCAACCACTGCTCTTAACTAGTTTTATCCCACTTTGCCTTTGGTCCTGCTCTGCTTTTCACCTGGGAGCTTTGCCCTTTCCTCATTTGCCTATAAACGTCTCACTTTCTTCCCCAAGAAGCGCCTTCTTGGCCCTTGTCATTGATTGGCAACCTGTCCAAAACACTGCGTCCTCTCCAAAGTACAATTCCATCTTGACCTCAGAGGTGGCACCCCTTCATGCTAGCTTCTGAGATGAGGCCATCCTAACCTGGTTCCTAGCTGCATTTTACCCCAGTCTATGCCTCATGCCACTTCCTCCTTTAACAACCCATAGAGCCAATCTCAGTCTCAGTCTCTCTCCCTCTGTCCCTTTCTCTCATTTCCAAGTCCTTCTTGGAGACACAGGAAAATTCAGCTGTCTTCTTATGCCACTTTAGTGTCATAGGAAGCTTAAGGGTTTGCCTCAGGCACATCTACATTTGAGCTATGCTGATCTGGTGTGAGGTTAGTTCTCTGACTGTGTGTTTTCCAGGGTACCATCTAATAAGGTAGCACATTTCCCCTTGCCCTTGGACTTCTACTTCACCCCCATCTTTGGGCTTACCTCCAGAAGCAGAAGGCAAAACACATTAGTAAATTGGTAAATACTCTCTTATATCCTGCCACAACAATAGAATATAGATTCAGGGTAGAATTCAAGACTGCTTTTCATTTAGTTCCAGGATGCTTTCGTGGGTACTCCTTGAGGGCAGGCTCTGCATCTTCCATCCACCACTGTATCCCCAGGGCTAGCATTATCAGTTGGGTTTCAGGGGCTCCACTGGGGTTTGAAGTATGATCAGAGCTACCCGGGTAAGAAAGCAGAGTATCTGGGCTGTAGTCAGCCCAATGCCAGGAGGACTCTCTTGTCATGTAGCATGGTGGAAATGACCCTGGACTCTGTGGATATGTGAAAAGGTGCACTGAGAACGTGCCTATATGGACTGCAACTGCCACAAAATATAGTCAGCACCCACAGGGCTGTTCTCAGGAGTGACTCTCTCCAGATGTATCAGTCAGTGCTTACTAGAGAAACATTTAATGTAAGATATACAAATATATAAGAACTTACAAGATTGGCTTACATCGGCTGCCCACAGAGTCAGGTGTGGAAGAGTATGAAAGGTTTGTCTGCACACTGGAGATCTGAAGGATCCAGTCAAGGCCTGGAGCTCCCTGTAGTGTCCTGTGTGAAACCTTATCAGGAGGCCGAAGTTTCTGTGGTGGAAACCAGGAGACAACGTCCAAGGTGAAGGTAAAGACCAGAGCTCCTCTGAAGAAACAGAAGCAGCAGCCTTCCTTCTTCATTTCCCTTTTATACCATTCTGGCAACAAATCTCCCTAGGGTGGGTCTTCTACACCCAGAACTAATGCTGAGCCAATCTAATGCTGAGCCAATCTAATTGGGCCTTTCTTACTCAAGTTGATAATTGGTTAACTATCACACCAGATGTGCAAAGTAGCTCTTGGATTTGTTCTCAAGCTGTCTGAGAACATGGATGGACAGAGCTAGGCCCAGGCTGTCCTGAGGTCTGCCCAGTACTAGTCCTGGGCTCCCTGGGGCTCCAGAATGTGAAAGTGAACCCCATCAGAACCAGAATCTGATTCTGTCTTATATCACTAGAAATATAAGTGGAGCCCCATGGAGCATGAAGGGACAGATGGAAGGCTGGGCACAATAGTATCCTTGACATCTGCTGAGCTCCTACATTGGGCCATACACTGTGTTGAGTACTTTATAAAATGAGATGATTTCTCTCCTTGTGAAGGAGGTCAACCACAGTCCTGTTTGCCTCTAAAATCTTAAAATCATCTTCTGACCAACTCTTCCCTTCTCTTTCCTTTCCTCACTTTCCCACCACCACCACCACCACCTTCTTTCTTCCCTCTCCTCTCCTCTCCTCTCTTCTTTCTAGGCCCAGACTTTTCTATCAAGCCATTAATTCACTGGTTCCGCCAGCTCAGCTCTAAGTAAACCAACAGACAGGCTTTGGAGCAGTCTAGGAAAGTAGAGGATTTTTTAAAGTTTCCACCAGAGGTCGCCTAAGCTCTAGTGTTCATTATTACTACTTAAAAAGCAATTCATTTCCTTAAAAAAGATTTTGTAAAGTGCAAAAATAAAACTAAATAAGTGAAACAGAAATACCTAATCAGATCACTGTGAGTACTGCACTGCCACTGAGTAAGGTATTACTGGCTCTTTCAACATTTGCATTGTACTTGTCTGAACAAGGAGTCACTTTTGGTCACTCCATTTTCTCCTGGCTTGCTCTGTAGCTTTTTTGACCTAGGGAGGATTTTTGCTTATTCTCCTAGATATAGCTTTGAAAGCACCTCAGGGAAGGTAACAGAGTATGGCTGTTTGGGAATAAAGGAGGGTTATCACAGTCAAGGGTGTCCCCGTATGGGCTTGGCTGACAACTGGCTTTTGGTCTTTCAGATAAAACTGGAGCCTACTGTGTCTATGCCTGTGCTTTCAGACTCTGACAAGCAGATGTTTCTTGCAAAGAAAAGCCTATTTTGGAATATCAGGTCGAAGCCCATTCCCTCCTGCAGCAAAAGCCAGGGGATAAGATGGACTGGAAAACACTGCAAGGACTTTGCTGCTAAACCTTTCTTGTCATTTCTCCAAGGCCTCCTGTCATATGTGTGCTATGAGCCACACCTCAGGCATGAATAAATGCATCAAGAGAGGAAAGAGATACAGGCAGCTAGAAATACAACTTGAAGGGGGAAAAAATAAGAAGAGAGATCTTCAGAGGTACACAAGTTCCCTAGGTCCTGCATCCTGTCATCAGGTTTTTATTTGAAGAAATGGGGCATATAGGGCTGGGGATTTAGTTCAGTGGTTCGCTGCCTGCCTCGCAAATGCAAGGTCCCGAGTTCAATCCCTGGTACCAAAAACAAAAACAGAAATGTGGCATATGGGAACCAGCATATGTCATGCCTTGTGGAATCCATGTGACATGATAGTTTTGTAGCATCATTAAAAAGTCTAATATTATGAAAAGGTTCTCTAAGAGTCTCTAAGGGAACAATAAAAACACATAGGGGAGAAAGGCAAACTAGAGAACATTTTGCTGAAAGGCATAAATTTTCACATATACAAAGAAAAATATTTTTTTTTTGGTACCAAGGATTGAACTTGGAACCTTGTTCTTGCAAGGCAGCTTTTGGTACCACTGAGCTAAATCCCCAGCTTAAATTTTCACGTATAAAATGCAGTTTTCAAAAGTCTCCAGAGTCCACAGCTGGGATCGCTCTCCAGTATATCTAGGAGCCAAATTGTTGTCTTTGAATCCGAGCAGGAACAAAGCTCTAAAGCCCTGTGTTCTATCCCTAATCTTGCAGCCCATGAAAGAAAGCACCAGCTTTCCCTTACCTGGCAGCCTGGTCCCCACCTGCGGATGAACTGGGGTTGTTATGGCTTGTCTAGATGGCCCTCCAAAGACTCATGCGGTCATAGGTGGGGCTTTTTCAGAGGTGGCAGGATCTAGAGAGTGTGATGCTGGGGTTAAGGTAAGTGATTATTAAACTAACCCACTGATTGGTTTGGCACAGTTCTGGCTACGATTAAGGGTGCCCCAACCTGAGTGTGAGTGCTACCCTCCTTAAAGGTTGGTAACCTGGATAAAGTATAAAAGGACAGAAAGAATTGGCTTGCTGCCTTTTACCTTCTGCCTGCCATGAACTGTTTCCCCTCTGCTATGCCACTCTGCTTTGGAGCCAGCCAATTAGGACTAAAACCTCTACAAACTGTGAGCCAAAATAAACATTTCTTCCTTTCACGTTGGGTGTCAGGTATTTTGTCTCAGCAACCAGAAAACTAAGACTGAGGTTGAGCAGTCATATGACAGAGCAATCTTCAGAATACAAACTGAAATGAGGCTGACTGATTTCCACTCCAGCTCTACTATGTGACCTGGAACCACTGCTAAAGTCCCCTGGCCTCATCAGGATATGTAAACCCCACCAACAGGTGATCTAAGGGCCTATCCCCAGCCTCTAGAAGACTCTCAATAGGCTTTGGCTACTAGGTTCTACCTGCCTGGACAGACTCTAGCCCATGCAGTTCCAGACCCAGCCTTCCCAGGTGGGGAACAACTAAAGCAATTACTGACTCTCCTGAGCTCCAGGCCATGGACTGTAGATTTCAAGGAGATGTCATCTGGGCCAATGAAATATTTCCGTTATAAAGCTGCAGTGTGCGGCGTGTGGCGTGTGGGGCTTTGGCCTATGTTCAGGCAATGCCCACCCAGCTGCCTGACAGGACCCAGGCTCCAGGGCTTCATGAGCATCCTCCTGAGAGCCCTTCCCATGGCCACTGTGACCTCTGCAATTCCAAATTTCCATTTCTAATGAAACTGGTTTTCTACCTCAATAAGCTACTTACTAAACACATTCCTGGAGGAATGCAATAGCAGGCTGGAAGTAAGGTGGCATTAGCACTTATCACATCATTGTCAGCCCATAGTGGGGTCCAAAGTCACACAGAAATCTTTCTCATCTCTTTTTCCTCTGACATTCTTGTGAGCCAAATTCATCCCAGACTTTTTAGCCCCTTGAGTCCTCAGTGCTGACCCAGGGATAGTGCACAAACTGAGGCATGGAGAAGGCTGTCACTGGCCAGCAGAGCGGGAAGCCTTGCCACTTAAGAACTATGCCACACTTCTCCAAATAGGTCCCCCAGCCAGGATAGTGGGCTGGGCTGCTCAGCTGTGTGCTGTGAGGGTGATCCCATTGTATCTTCACGGGCAACGGGGACTCCTGGGGGTCATGAGGCAGAGAAGCAGGGGTAATCAGGCAAGTGAGAAAACCTCAATTTTGCTCAGGTGTGGTCCAGATGAGTTTTAATGCTACTGCACCTAGTGGCCAAGTCTGGAGTGAGTCCTCTGGGCCATCACCTGAAGGATTTTATTTAAGGCTCAACAATGCTGGGCTGTGGCTTGGAATATTCTCATTTTGTAGGAGAAAATACAGGTAAGCTAAGGTCACACCACTAGTCCATAGCAGTAACAGGGCTTACACCCAGTTCCAGCCAGTATAACTGCCCCCTCACTTGGACTCTGCACTTTGTACTGACTTAGTGAAGAAGAAAATGACTGAATATATGGCTGCAGTGAGCACAGTGAAGTAACCTGCGTGGCACACTTGTCTGTGCTGACCCTGAGCTAACTGCTCCAGCTTGAAGGCCAACTAGCTTCGTGGAACCACCTCAACACCTTGCCTCTTTAACGTGCACTCCAGTCTCCACTCAGATAACTCAGGGGGAGACAAATGGAAATGATAAAATGAGGCAAAGACTTACCTCCGGTAGGAAAGATGATACATTTCAAGGTGATGTCATCAGGCATCTTTGCATTCTGTCAAAAGTTCCCCAAGAACCTTCTTGGGAGCACAGCAGGCTGTACACAGTCATTTGGAGCAGGCTGAAGTGCTGGGTCTCTTGTAGCTTGTCTCCTGCCATGTTTTCCAGTCAGGGTTGTATCCAGACAGCAGGTGCCACAGCTGGACAGACAGACAAGTCTCAGCTCATCCCGAATCTCTTCCACTCAGCTTCCCTGAACCTGCCAGGCCAAGCTTACCTTCTCCTGTCCACCCCAAGGTCTCCTTGAAGTCAGACCATCTTCCCTCTCCTGATCAAGTAGCTGTCCTCTGCTCGATCTCCTCCTACTACCTCAGGCCTACTCTCATGTCATCTCTGACAGGCACCCAATTCCATGAGCAGCATCTGAGAACTTTGATGTCAGGTCAGCAGGATCCTGGAAAATGTTTCTGTCCCAATGAAGGCTGGAAAAGGGGAAAGAGGCTTTGGGATAAAAGTGAAAGCAATGCCCAGGGAGAGAACATTGAGAAAACAACCAGAATCAGACTTCACATGTGCCCCCCACTGACCTCCTGCAAGTCAAGCTCTACATTTACCAGAAGATAACATTTCCATCTCTGATTTTTTATCCCCAAGAATCAGTGCTGAGCAAGTGCTGAGAAAACCCAATAATGTGAGGGTGATCAATGCCACTGAACTATATACTTATAGTGGTTGAAATGGATATATACATAAAAAGAATAGGAACTGGGACTCTGCTTCTTAGAGTGGTAACCCATAATCCCTTCCAAGCACCACAGCTGCAAATGTCTGGGAGTGCTGCTGTACACCTTTTCCCATGCCTTTCCTTAGGATGACAAGGCCCTGTTCCAGGGACTGGATTCCTAGCTTTTCTCACCCTCCCTGTACTCCTCAGCAGCCTTGGAAGGTCCATTGAGTCAAGTGTAGGTTACAGACAGTTTTTTCCCCAGGACTGAATATTATTACTCTGTCCCCTGGCCACTGCCTATTTCTCCATTCTCACACTCAGCTGGACTCAAGTTCTTCATCCTCTATGAAATCTGAGTTAGCTGCTCCCACCTTTTGCTTTGGAAGATACCATTTCTGCCTTTTCCAACCTCTTTGGCATCTGAGCTCCCAGGCAAAGCTTTCCTTTTAAGCTTTCTTAAGAGTCATGATTTATTACTGTGGAGCACTTAATTAGTCCTGTCCCACCCATGGTGCACCATTACTTTGTCACTACATTAACATGAGCAGCAGCTGAGCCCCCATCTGTCATTTCCCATATTCTGACCCTCATGCCCCACCTTGGCGCTCTGGGTACCCTCACTCTAACCACAGTCCCCCAGATTGATTCTGGTAGTTTGTCCCTGAAGCTACCAAGCCCAAAGAAATGTTCCAAAATGTATGTTCCCTCTTTTCTTTTCCCATCTCCAAATTAGAATGAATGGCATTCAAGTATCAAAATCAGAAGATAAAATCGAGTGGCCTTCTACCTAGGGGCAATGTGGGTATTCACCAGGAAAGTCACATGTTGCCTCTGTGGCCTATTTCTTCAGGAACATCCTCTTGGCATATTCAGCAGGGTGCACTTAAATCCTTCAGGGTGAGGATCCACCTGCAGAAGGGAGCAAGTGTTTGTGAGTTTCTGTATTAAATGTAGAGCACTCCCAACAACCTGGTAATACTTCCCCAATCTGGGAAAATCTACCAAGAAGTCTAAACACAGACAACAGCTTTCTCACCACATATTAGCATTTGCAGATGTTTTCTGATCCAGCCAGCCCAAGCCACCCATGTGAAGTGATTATTCACTTACAAGTTTTCCCCACCCAAGTCCCAAACTCCACTGTATCAGTAACATCACGTTAATGACTGGATGAGCAAAATATGATAGGGATGTTAGCAGCCTTAGAAAGATTTAGGCACTTCAGAGGGTGATATATAAGCCCTTCAAAGTTTCAGGGGCCCACTATATCAATGAAGTATTCAGGGATCCGGTGGTCAGGGACATGCTAGGACTCCCCGCTCCCAAAGTAAAGGACAAATGATGGCATGTTACATTTCCTACCACTAAGAGGGAGGCACAAGGCCACATAGGCATCTATGGGCTAGGAAGCAGGGAACCAAGGGGTGCACTGACCCACTTACTTTTCCAGTGATCCAGTGGGAACTTGTGCTTCCTGCCCCCACAACTTTGGATTCTGTGAGATCAGACCTGCACTGTCCAATACAGTCACCACTAGCCACATTTGGCTGTTTAAATTTAAAGTAGAACTAAAAATTCTGTTCCTCAGTTGTGGTAGTCACATTTTAAGTACTCAATAGCCACATATGATTGGTGGCTACCTTATTTGGACAGTCTTGGCTGGGCATCCTGGTTCCACAGATGAAAATAGTTCCACCAGGAGACATTAATTGAGTCCTATTGTTGTGGAAGGAATTCACAAGTGACACGCACATAGAGACAAGCTGAATGGAAGTAAAATAAAAAAATTTATTTTGTCAGAAAAGGGTCGATCGCACTCAAGTAGGCAGTGCTGGTGATCGACCTACTATTGGGTTGCAGTTTCCTTTTATAGGGTTTACAGCTATGCTCTCATTCAGGTGGTTACATTTCATTTCCTCAGTTCATATCACCCATATACAAATTGCAGTAACCTGACAGTTCACTTTAACCCAGACATAACAAGGAGTTTACCTCAAGATTCATCTAGCTATCTATTCTAGTGCACAGGAAGGTGGTATTCAAGGTTAGGAATGAGGCCAGATGTCCCACTTCATGGTCAATGTCTCCAGTGTCTATCAATTTTAAACTAAACAAAGCAGATTGTTGTTAGAGACAGCAAAAGTCATTTTAGATTTTCCTAACATTTTATAGGTTTTTAGATTATTTACAAAAGTTCTATCACTATAAAGTGATTTACAAGTCAGGGCACTTTGAGTTCTTCAAATGATGGGACCAATAGGCATGAAGAAAAGTTCCTATCCTGAGAGGGTTTGTTAGGTCTGGTAATCAGGAAGCGATAGGGAAGCTCTTACATAATTGGAAGAGAGGGATGTGTTTGGTATCTATGTGAGACACTCAAATGTGCCTTGGTTACCCTTTGATTTCTGTGATTAACAGACAAGATTGGGGCTGGGGATTTAGCTCAGCAGTTCAGTGGCCTGCCTTGCAAGAGCAAGGACCCGAGTTCGATCCCCGGTACCAAA